TGGTGGTGCTGTTTCTATTAAAACTGCACTTCCTGTATAATGGTCAAGCCATGTTTCAGGCCTCAGAAAACAGTCACGCCCCCCACGGGGAACACTGAACAACGTGGCGTAAAAAGTCCATCAATAAACTGGTGCCGTATTATTTCGGGTGCAGACCATCTGAACGATAAGCCACGCGGCACTTCCAGAACAGGCAAAAGTTATTCACAGAGACAAAGTTGAAAGTGCTGTATGTAGACTGGAGCCACATGTTCAGCTCCACAACACGACTGCAGAGGCAGTCACCCCGATTTACAGACGGGACTGGACCAGAAATAAAAACAGATAATCCAGGGGATTGGAGGAGGCGGAACATATCCATAAAGTGCTTTTTAGTGACCTCGGACTGCTGCAGTTTCATATTGTTGTTATTGTTGTTCATGCACGATAACCTTGGATATGGTGTCGGGCAGGGAGCGAAACAGAGGAGGAGGGAGACGTATGAGGAGGTCTGGAAAAGTTGCTCCAGGAATACAGTGAGTGACCATGTTAAAAAAGCGGACGTGTCTCCAATAATCAAAGTAGTCGGGGCGAAGAGTGGACGTAGCCGCAGACAGGGCGCTCGGTGTCCATGTCCAGAACCAGCAGGCTCATCCAGAGATGGGTCGTGTCTGGGTGCGCTCTTGCCTGGCCTGCCAGACACTCCTCCTTTCTGTTCAAAAGAAGAACCGTCTGGACACCTCTTCCTAGCCTATCATTTCACGATTTTACCCACATCGGTCCAATCACGCACCGAGAGGCGGGACTTCCTTTCACCTTTGAGTTGCTAATAACTCCTTGTATCTTTAAGTTTTTGTTACAAAATCGACAGCAGTCGTTTACTGCTTGTTTTGTGTTTACTGAAACGGCTTGGGTGCCGCTAGTTGCTGCGTCATATCCTGTGTGCATCTAATTGGTTGATGCAGTCTGTCAACCACGCCCACCGGGAATTCGCTGAGATCAAGCTCGTTCCCAGACTATATGTCTTTGAAAAAGCATATTGTTTGGCAGGCCAGGCAAGGTGCGCTCGTGGTAGCCTCAGTTTCAATTGGGTCTTTGTGTTAAAAGGCGTGATGCTCTGGGACCACTGCATTTAACAATAAAGGTTCTCAAAAGATAAAACACCAAAATGTATAAAAAAACACTCAAATAGACAGTAAAACAAGTGTTTAAAAAGCTTTTAAAATGGTAAACAGAGAAAAAACCTCAATACACGTGAACTACCCAGAAATTAAAAATCACTGTGGCAGGTAACTTTGGCCCGAGGATAGCATAAGGAAAGAATATTATTATTATTGTAAAATTACATCCATCCATTTTCTTCGCTTCATCCGTGGCCGGGGTCGTGGGGGCAGCAGTCTAAGCAGAGACACCTAGATCTCCCTATCCACACACACTTCCTCCAGCTCACCTGGAGGACCCCAGGGCCAGTTCCCAGGCCAGTTGAGAGAATAGTGCCTCCAGCGTGTCCTAGGTCTTCCCCGGGGTCTTTTCCTGGTGGGACATGCCTGGAACACCTCACTGGGGAGGCGTCCAAGAGCCACCTCAACTGATTCCTCATGACGTGGCGAAGCAGCGGCTCTACTCCGAGCTCCTCCCGTGTGACTGAGCTCCTCACCCTATCTCTCCGGGTTGAGAAGTAGGAAGTTAAGAGTCATCCACGTTTTAAGGTCCTTTATGCAGGCACTAAGCTTTTCTAGCTGATCTGTCTGATTTGGCTTCATCGACAGATAAAGCTGTGTGTCATCTGCATAGCAGTGGAAATTAATTCCATGCTTTTTAATAATGTTTCCTAACGGCAGCTTGCAGAGAGTGAAAAGAATCTACTCCAGAATAAGGCGACGAGTTCTGATTTACGTTGACGAAGTGATACCAATCTGATAAATAGGATTTAAACCAGCCATAACAAATGTTTTTTCTTTTTTTTATGACTTGAACTTTATTAGTTTTTACAATTAAACAGTAAACAAACAACAATCCACATATCAGATTCAGTCCTTGGCAAGTGAATTGCGACAACATACAACAACAAAACATAAAAAATAAAAAATAAAGGAATGTAAAACAGCATAGGTCTGATAAACTATGCAAAAATGATGTAACATCTGTATCCATGATTGTAATAAATATCAATATTAACATGAAAATAAGCAGTAAAAAATAAATAAAAATAAAATAAAAGGGTGAATATAAAAAGTAAAAATAAAATAAATACAAGTAATAATCATATTGATGCCAAACCAGGCCAGGAGCACATACCAGAGGAGAATAATTCTTTGGGGCAGTGACCAGTGAGTGGGAGGGCTTCAGACTTGGTCCAATTGACCTTATAGCCTGAAATATCCGAAAATGAATTGATTAAGGAGAACAAGGCAGGAGGGAATGTTGAGGATCAGACACAAATAGAAGAATATCATCAGCATATAGCATCAGCTTATGACAGCTTTGACCAATTGTGATGCCTGGAAATTTAGCTTCTCTTCGAACGGCCACCGCCAATGGTTCAAGGGCTAATGCAAAAAGAAGGGGGGACAGGGGGTCCCCTTGTCTTGTGCCCCTTCCTAATTGAAATGATGGACCAATTATACCATTTTTGAGGACAGAAGCTGTAGGACTTATGTAAATCAGCCGTATCCAATTGATGAAATTACTACTGAAACCAAAATATTTGAGCGTTAAAAACAAGTAATGCCATTCAACCCTATCAAAAGCCTTTTCAGCATCTAATGAAATGGCTGCAATAGGATTCCGACAATCTTGAACTGCCCACATAATGTCCAGTAACCTTCTAACATTATCTGCTGAGTATCGGGAGCGTTTAAAACCCACCTGATCAGGGTGAATCAGATGAGTCATAACACGGTCTAGACGATTGGCCAAAATTTTTGATAATATTTTGCTGTCATAAGAGGTCAAACTAATGGGCCGATAGTTGCGGCAATCCGAGGTGTCCTTATCTTTCTTTAGGATAAGAGTGACAATGGCTTCAGATAGCGAAGACGGAAGCATTTGTTTTTTAAATGATTTGTTATAAGCATCTAGTAGCATTGGGGCCAATAATTCAGGAAAGGAATTTATCAAATTCAGCCGTAAACCCATCGCGACCAGGGGCCTTATTAGAAGGAAGGTGTTTAATTACTGAAATTATTTCTGCTGTAGTGATTGGTGCGTCTAAGCTCTCCATTTGGTCACGGGCTACTTGGGGAAGGTTTAAGACAACAGAAACTTAGTGATATCTTCCTCAGAAGCCCGTGACTCTGAGCTATATAGATGAGTATAGAAATCCGTAAAAGTGGCATTAATTTTTTGGGGGTCTGTGATGAGCTGCCCATTTGTATCCTTAGTAGCAGAAATAGCACTCATTGCCTCTTTTTGTTTAATATATCTTGCCAATATCCTTCCTGCCTTGTCACCCTCCTCAAAGTACTTTTGTCTTGCCTGAAATAGACTAAATTCAGCTTTCTGTGACAATATTGTGTTATATTCATATTTTAATTTAGTTAATTTGACCAAGTTAATAGAAGAGGAATCCCTTTTGAAAGTTTTCTCAGTAATCCCGATCTTTTTCTCCAGATCAGAAAGCCGTTTAATGTTTTCTTTCTTTTTAATTAAGGCCTGTTGAATAATATGACCCCTCAAAAAAGCCTTCAGTGCCTCCCAGGCCACTCGAGCTGAGGGGGCAGAGGGAATATTTGTCTCCTTGTACAGATTAATTTGAAACTCAAGAGAATTTCTAAAAGTATCCTCCATTAAAAGACTGGAGTTTAATCTCCATCTAGGAGTTTTAGCAATAGCATTAAAAGCGATGAGGGAGAGATAAATTGGACTATGATCTGATAAAATTTTATTACCAATACTGCTATTAACAACTGCAGGCATCAGAGATTGGGAAATTAAAAAGAAATATATTCGCGAAAAGGATGCGTGCGGGGCAGAATAAAAGGTATAATCCCTACCCATTGGATTTTGTAACCGCCAGACATCTACTAGGGCACAGGCATTTGACATTGCTCTAAGTGAATAATTTCCTCTTGTTGTGCGAGTAAGACTTTTACTCCGGTCTAAAGTGCCATCCATCACCTCGTTATAATCACCTGCCAACAAAACGGGATAGTCCCCCAGATCAGAAATCTTTTTTTCCAACTGGCCAAAGAAGGACGGATCGTCAACGTTGGGAGCATAAATATTAGCCAAAATGATAGTTGTACCTTGAATTTCACATAGCATAATTAACATCCTACCTGCCCCATCTGTACTTTGTTTTAAGCATTTAAATTGCAAACCCCTGTTAATTAATGTGGCTACTCCTCTACTTTTGCTAGTTCCACTGCATGAGCCAACAAAGCCCACCCAGCCAAAACAGAGTCTCTGAGACTCTTGACGAGATAGATGTGTCTCTTGGACAAAAACAATATCACATTTTTTAGATTTAATAAAAGATAGAATCTTTCTTTTCTTTATGGCATTATTGAGACCTTTGACGTTCCAGCTCATCAGTTTTAAATTATTAGGTGTTATCATTGATCAAAATGGTAAGTGGTGCTGTGAATTTAAATGTATTGGCATCAAAAGAAAAAAATGAAAATATAACTAAACTAAATAAAAAATAACATGGAACAAAGTGAACCCTTCCCCCCCTTCTCCCCCAAAAACCTCCCTTAATAAGGTCCGCGAACATACACTCAACTGACGCTGCCCACAGCGCCCCCCTCCCCGCACATTAGTGGGTTGGCAACGAAGTATTATCAAGTAATAAAAAAAATAAAACAATTATAACATGTTAGAATTTTAGCTGCAACAAAGAGCTTTGCATTTATCAAGACAACAGTTGTGAAAAAAAACTAAAAATTGTGAATATTTCCCCTCACCTCTAAAAGTCCTCTCTGCATCTTAGTAACAAACCTTGACAGAAGTGCCTAGCGAAGAGTGACCGCACAATAAGAGTGTCTTCATATAGTCTGTGTGTCATCGCGAGCAGTCACTCAGTTCAGCAAGTGGATAAACGAAATGGCTCTCTTGTGGTCTTCAAAACGCATGGGTCCCTGTGCAGTCTTCACCACAAGCACAGCTGGGTAGTTGAGTGAAAAACAAATGTTCTTATCATGTAAAAGTTTCTTACAGTCCTTAAACTTAGCCCGTTTTTCGTTCAGCATCCTGGAGTAATCCGGGAAGACCATAATGCGTCGTCCTCCCCAAATGACATTCCCCTTCTTCCGTGCAGCTTCAGCGATGCGCTCGCGATCCTGAAATCTCAGAAATCTTGCTATTATGGCTCTGGGGCGGGTGGACTGGTCACCATCCTGGCGTCTAGGAATGGCTCCAAGTCTATGTGCTCTGTCAATCTCCAATCCTTTGGCGAAGTCAATGTCAAACAGCGTCGGAATGATTCCCTCCAGGAAAGCGACAGCATCATTATTCTCACACGACTCGGGGAATCCAACGAAGCGTAGGTTACATCTACGTTCACGATTTTCCACATCATCCAGCTTCTCCCTGAGCACTTCAACCTCTTTGAAGGCCTCCAGCCTTTCCTGTGCGTCCTCCAGAAACCCCAGGCAACCTTCCACGTTGCTAATGCGGCAAGCAATGTCGACTAGCTTACTCTCCGTGGCACACGTTGTGATGCAAATCTCCTCCAGTTTCTTATCATGGCTGTCAGACTTCTCCAATATAAGCGCATAGAGCAGTGGTATTTAACCTGGGTTCGATCGAACCCCAGGGGTTCGGTGGGCCGGTCTCAGGGGTTTGGCGGAGCCTCCCCCGCTGAGGTCCGGAAAATACCCAAAATAAAAAATGTGTTCGTGATGACGCGCCCTGATTGGCCATCACTGGCTGCAGATGAGAATGCTACGCTGCTTGGCCAATCAGTATGCGAGGAATGTAGCGCGCTCGTGGTAGTGCTTCATGTGACTTCTCCGGTAATATTTTAATCCGTACTTTAATATGTCGGGCAAAAGAAGAAAGTGGTCGGACAAATATGTACAACATGGATTCACATGTTTCACGGAACTTGATGGGAGTGAGCGTCCTATCTGCATGATTTGCAACGCCAAGTTGAGCAACACCGTCTTGCACCGGCAAAACTAAAGGAACACTTTGTGAAGCGGCATGGAGACGGGGAATACAAGAACTCAACACTTGCTGAATTCAAGGTAAAGAGAGCCAGATACGATGAAAGGGCCACTCTGCCTGCTCTTGGATTTGTAACCGTTAGCAAACCGGTCATCACAGCATCGTACGAAGTTGCTTACCTGATCGCAAAGCAGGGAAAGCCACACACCATTGGCGAAACACTCGTGAAACCAGCGGCGTTAAAGATGGCGAATCTGATACTCGGAACAGCGGCCGAAGGTAAATTATCCCAAATTCCTCTTTCAAATGACACTGTCAGCGACAGAATAGAAGACATGAGTAAAGACATATTGGCTCAAGAAGTGGCGGATCTGATTTCGAGCCCAGCAAAATTCAGCCTTTCAACTCGACGAGACCACAGAAGTTTCAAATCTAAGCCAGCTTGCTGTTTTCGTGTGCTATGTGAAAGACAACATGATAAATGAAGAATTTTTATTTTGTAAGCCTCTTACAACAACAACTAAGGCAGTCGATGTGAAGAAGCTTGTGGATGACTTCTTCTAAGACAACAATCTTTCATGGGATATGGTTTCTGCTGTTTGTATGGACGGAGCTCCAGTCATGCTGGTGTTAGGATTTAGCAGACAGAGACGGATCGTGGTGTGCCAAACTCTGGAAGTTTATTTAAGTTTCTCCCAAGTTCCACTGGTTTACTCTGTTTCTTTCTCTCAGACAGAATAAAGGCAGTACACAGTTTATATAGTCATTGTCACGTCACACATCGAAAGACATACGTGTCACAAAGAGACAGTCACATCATAGTCATAACATGGAGTCCTTGTAGAGTCCTTGTACAGTCCTGCACGTAGGCCATATTGCTATCTAATACTAATACTCTCCCCTTTGATCACATAATCACATGTGATCACTCAAATTGATCAATCAATAAAGTGGAAAAAGAAGAAAAAATTCCAAAAAAAACTTCAAAAAATTATTAAAAACAAAGAAACTGTATGCATTAAACTCATAATCATCAAATCAATATCAGTGGATTTTATCCTCTATCCTGGAAAAAACAAACAAACAAAAATGAAGTAAATAAACAAACAAAAAACAAATCAAAAATAAAAACAAACAAACACTATTGGACACACAAGAACTCAGCAGATTCAGTCAAAACACAGACAAAAAACGAGCTGAGTCTCAAATTTGAAGCTAATTTCACTTTTATTACTCTATACTTTTATTCTAATGCTGATTGTTTATACTTCACTTATTTCACTTTATTATTTTCACTTATCAATCTTAGACTGTGTACTTTACTTTTACTATCACTATAGTTTAAAACTATTCTAATCTATTCACAAATATGTTTGTATATTTGCTTCTATTGAGCCATATTCTTAAACATACATTTTATTCTAATAAATCTCTCTGTGGTTTTACACTCTCATTATCAGTGGCATATTATCAGTGGGATTTTGCTCCATGTCTATTCTCATTCTCAGGAATAAAACTGTGAACACAGTAAGGCAAATGGTCAACATTTACACTTCTATAGTGGTCAATGATTTATTACTTTTTATTATCTAAATATATTATTGTCAGGCAGTTTGGGATGAATGTACATCATTAATCAAATTAGTATTATTCTAATAGTAGCTAATCTATTTTAGCAGGTTTGGGGTTGGGGTCAGTTATTCTACAATGGTGTTTGTGCTGGAAACTTCTCAATATCTAAATATCTACTATTGTGTTTTTGTGCTACACCCAAATTCATCAAAATGCTTTTAAATGCTTTTGAATCTCTGTTGGTTCTAATCTATCTCATTGATCTAGGCATTAATCTAGACTACACTCATATGGACTTTTTGCATAGTCAACATTCACTCATGTTTGAACACAAGTGAATTTGGCAAGTATCTAATAAAACTGTACATAAACTGTAATTAACTTTATCTACTTTTGAAGTAAATGCTTGTGAAATGGTCCCTTTACCATTTGATATTAGCACTGGCTACAAATAATCTCTATTTTTGAAAGAATCTATGGTTGATGCATTTATCTATTCCTATTTTTACTCTATTTTTTAACTCAAAAGCTCGGCTGCAGCTTGAGCAAAGGCATATTCCTAGTTTGTGACTTCTGTCACTTTCAATGGCTGTAACATAACTCTGATTCTAATATTATAGCTGATCTATCAAAAGGATAACATTGTAGGGTACTATTTTAACTCTTACGTGGAAATATGTTTATGAACAACAAAGGAAGTCAAATTCTACTTTTTTACTACTACTAAAAACGCTACAATACTAATACTTTATCATTTTAAAAGTTTTTGTCTGTCAGATGTCTGAATACTTAACATGTATATTGCATTTGTCACAGTTGTGGTTCTGGTTGTAGCAAAAGCATCGGCAATAGACGTTTTCATTGGCTGGTTCTTGTTCTGCAAATGGCTGTGTCCAATAGATCATCAGATGTCCAGAAGCTAGGGACAAACAAAAACAAAAGAAAGAATCATGAGTATCTGTCTCATTTAGCACTCATCAATGTATGATTTCAAAAATATAAACATCACTCCCCAGTTTTCTCTCTCAGATCCTCAGGTCCTCAGGGTCCCCTGAGGGTGAGTCTCAGTCGTCATCAGGTCAGGTCATATTTCCAGAGATGTCATCTTGGACATCAGTAGGGTCCAAGCCATGGTTCTGGTCACTCCAGATTCATTCTGGTCACTCCAGGTACATCAGGTCACTTGGGTTGCTCTTTGCGATGCACTTCTGGTCAATGGTGCAGTGTCACAGTTCCTGTACACAGCTTGTTATGCAATAGTTACTCTCTATGGTTAAGTCACTTTGATTCTACTTTAACACAATTTCTATTCATGCTGTTGCTAATGTCCCTCAGACAAAAAGCAAGCGCAGTTTACTTCTCTAATTTGTGTTTTTATCAGATCTAATTCTAATCAATGTAATTACTTCACACAGTACAAAATCAACAAATCAAAAGTGTCAGGACAGAGGTCAATTATGTCCATGACAATATAGAATTCAAATGAACATTTCTGGTCTCAAAAAATACTGATTCAAGTGATAGACAATTAAAAATATGTTTACATTGGAGTAAACTTTTAAAATGCTTTTTTCTCATGTTCTGCTTTTTCATGTATCTACAGTGGGTCCCATTCCGTTTTGTCGTCTTCATTCACGCTTCTCGGGAATCACGCAGCTGCGTGAAAAATAGTACATCTTATCGCCACAAGGTGGCAGGCTAAGTCCACTTTAGCTCTGCCAGTGACTAACCCCCCGACTCCACCGGGCGCGTCTCCGTTGACGCGCGTTGGCTGCTGTCCGTCAGCCGTCCGTAAAACGGACCAGTGGTCAAACCGGCTGCAGCAGCATGCAACTCTGGCTGTGCGTTTATCAGCCTGCTTTATTTTTGTAGGAGACATGTTTGGGCATTGTGTGAATGAATGAATGTTTGGCTGATGGAGGAGTTATATTGTCGGCGTGCATGTGTGCGTGAGCGTGTGCGTGAGAGCGCCCGTGTGTGTGTGTGTGTGTGTGGTGGGAGGCGTGTGCGTGCATGTGTGTTTGGGTCTGTGACTGCAGCGTTTATTATGATCCAGCCTCTTCGTTTGTTTTCTACTTATTTAGCGCATGATACACTTTTATCGGAGCCAACTCGCCTCTCCGCGGCTTTAGGCAACAGGCAGAGCTATAGTTTTAAATAGAAGAAGCGGTGTGTGATTTGAATGAGCTGTGGCTATGATCAGTGCAAAGCACAGCATATTGAAGCATTGAGGACGTCGCGATGGATGAGGCAAAACTTATTGAAAGCAATTGGAAAAAGGGGAGAGAGAAAAGAACTCCAACATATCCAGTGTTGTGAGATCTGTCTCTCATAAGTGCAGCTCTGTGTGTGTGTGCGTGTCTGTCTGTCTGTCTGTCTGTCTGTCTGTCTGTCTGTCTGGGAGCGCGCGGCGGTGAGGAGAGAGCGCCTCGGAGGTAGACGGGACAGAAGAGCGAGGTGTATGTAAAGATTAACATTACGCGAAAAATAAATGGTAGATTTACGATCAGGAAACAATTATTTAAATTAATACATGAAAAACATTACACACGTTTGTTAATAATCATTGTCATTAACAAATACTTATAACCAAGGACTACAGCATATATCAATACATGTTTAACAATGTTGTAAATATATTATTCCATTGCATTTTCAATGGAAAACGGACCCGACACGCGTCGACGGACGGAACAAATAGGATTGTTTCTATTTCGTCCGTCCACGTCTTTTGCACCCTCCGTTGACGGAATAGGTCCGACGTGCGTTGGACGGACGCATGCGGAGGCAGTGGAGCCACTTCCATTCACTCTCATGGAGATAACGGAGACGGAGATGAAACGGACATGTTTGGACGGATCCGTCGTCCGTTTTACGCGCCCGGTGGAGTCGGGGCCTTAGACGCTCAGGTATAAGACTGCGTGCAAACCTGTCTAGCCCAAAGGTGCTATGTTGGCCCAATGGTTAGCATCAAAGACTGGGACCTGGAGAACCCAGGTTCGATTCTTGTCTGAGGCACATCTTTTGGTTGCTTGTGGCAAAATTGTTTTTTCATTAAACAATTATTATATAACATCTTGTCTTTAATGTCTGAAAAAATCTAGGTGAAATTCACTAGAATTTATTTAATATACATTAAATATTGTGATATGTTTTGATAAACCGAACGTTACGTTACATCCTCCGCTCAGTGAACGCACTGCCGTCTGGGCTCCGAGCGCGGACCATAGACACGCGGACTCACGTCTCTCTCTCTCTGCTCGCGTCTCTCTCTCTCTGCTCGCGTCTCTCTCTCTCTGCTCGCGTCTCTCTCTCTGCTCGCGTCTCTCTCTCTCTGCTCGCGTCTCTCTCTCTCTGCTCGCGTCTCTCTCTCTGCTCGCGTCCCTCTCTCTCTGCTCACGTCTCTCTCTCTGCTCGTGTCTCTCTCTCTCTGCTCACGTCTCTCTCTCTCTGCTCACGTCTCTCTCTCTGCTCGTGTCCCTCTCTCTCTGCTCACGTCTCTCTCTCTCTGCTCGCATCTCTCTCTCTCTGCTCACCTCTCTCTCTCTCTCTCTGCTCACGTCTCTCTCTCTCTGCTCACGTCTCTCTCTGCTCGCGTCTCTCTCTCTGCTCACCTCTCTCTCTCTCTCTCTGCTTGCGTCTCTCTCTCTCTGCTCACATCTCTCTCTCTCTCTGCTCGCGTCTCTCTCTCTCTGCTCTCTCTCTCTGCTTGCGTCCTCTCTCTCTCTGCTCACGTCTCTCTCTGCTCACCTCTCTCTCTCTCTCTGCTCACGTCTCTCTCTCTCTGCTCACGTCTCTCTCTGCTCGCGTCTCTCTCTGCTCACCTCTCTCTCTCTCTCTCTGCTCGCGTCTCTCTCTCTCTGCTCGCGTCTCTCTCTCTCTGCTCGCGTCTCTCTCTCTCTCTCTCTGCTCACGTCTCTCTCTCTCTCTCTCTGCTCACGTCTCTCTCTCTCTGCTCACGTCTCTCTCTCTCTGCTCACGTCTCTCTCTCTCTCTCTCTCTGCTCACGTCTCTCTCTCTCTCTCTCTGCTCACGTCTCTCTCTCTCTGCTCACGTCTCTTGCACCTGTTCTTCTTAACACTAGAAAACCCAACCGAAATTGGCCCCTGTTTTGAGAACAGGGAGCTAACTTGCTAGGTTGGCTGCTAACATTTGCATGTATTGATTTGCAAATGTAGGTAATGACTTATAACAGCAGGGGGCTGGGGTGGGCTTTGTTTATTCGTGTGGGGGAGGGGAGAGCTGCAAAGCAGAAGAGATGCCATGGCAGTGCTGTGTACCCTGAGAATGCGCTGTATATATTTTGTAATCAGTTTTTCTCAGTGTCTTTGGTGCATTTTTCACATAATTCTTCACATTTTAACAACAGTTAGTGCATTTCTCAGAACAATGAGTGCAAACTGCAAAACCTCATGGATAACCTGCTAAAAAGTCACTTTCTCAAAATGAACTTAATTCCTCAAAAGAAAGTCTTCATGTCAATGAAACGGTCTGTGTCTGGGTCCTGACATCAGTGTTTATGAACAACAGTCAAATGATTTAGTCATGTTTTCATTGTGATTGTATTTAGTGATACATATGTATGTTCTGTATGTTCACATATTTACCATTGTGCTTATTTGCTGCTTTGCAATTCTACAGCATTCTGCAACAAAAAATAGTACACATATGCCCAGTATTGAACGCGCTGCAAAATCTCTGGCCTTAACTGCTGTGGCACAAAAAATCATTACGTCATTGTACAACACCAGGCCGCCAGAACCGTAAGGGAATGTCCAGTGTAGTAAGGCTTTACACAATACCTGTGCTGACTTGGGCCAACCTGTGAATGTAGTTTTGACATCATCGCATCTTGTAAAGTATGCTGTTTAATCAGATCCAACTTGGAGGAAGAAATGGGCCATGAGTTTTGTATTTCTTGTTCATGTGCCTCTATCTCCCCCAACAGTTCTGCTACATCTTGTTCTACAGCCGCTTGAGGATGACGAGAGAGTGTATCTGCAATGACGAGATCTTTTCCGGGTACATATACTGCCGTTGGGCTGTACCGCATCATCCTCAATAAAAGTCTTTGACATCTCAGTGGCACAGAATGTAGATCTTTTGAGTTTATAAGAGGGATCAATGGTTTGTGATCACTCTGAAGAATGAACGAGTCCAAGCCATATAAATACCTGCTAAATTTCTCACATGCCCAGACCGCAGCGAGACACTCCTTCTCAATTTGAGCATAACGTTGCTCCGCCTCTGTTAGTGTTCTGGAACAAAAGCTCACAGGTTTCACTTGTCCATCATGATTCTGAAGCAACACTCCACCTAAACCATAACTACTAGCATCTGCGCTGACAATAGTTGGTTTGGTTACATCATAAAAGGCTAGAACGGGGGATTTGGTGACAAGCTCCTTTACTTGACTGAAGGCTTTGTCTTGAGCCTTGTCCCAATTCCACACGGTATCCTGTTTGAGTAGATCATTGAGCGGTTTGGTGACTTCAGATAGGTTTGGCAAGTATCTGCCTAAGTAGTGGATCATACCCATTATCCGCCTAAGGTCTGAAACATTCTTCGGAGTCTCCAGTTCTGTGACTGCTTTAACTTTCGCTTTATCTGGTCTAATGCCATTCTCATCAATGCAATGTCCCAGGTAGTTTAGTTGGTGTTGTCTGAGAAGACATTTCTCATGGTTTAACTTTAAACCTGCCATCTTAAGTGTGCTCAGAGTCTTTTGGAGTCTCGCCTCATGTTCCTCTGATGTGTTTGAAAAGATCAGGATATCGTCCATATAGACGGCCACACCCTCGAGTCCTTTCAAAAGTTCTGTCATCTCCCGCTGAAAGATTTCCGGAGCGCTGGTGATCCCAAACGGCAGCCTGTTGAAGAAGTACCTGCCGAATGGGGTTATGAAAGTGGTTAACTTCGCACTGTTTGGATCTAGTGGTATTTGAATCCACTTGCAGCATCGAGCAGGGAAAACACTTTAGCGCCTGCTAGTTTGGGCAAAATATCATCCACTGTCGGTAAAACATTTTTCTCTTTTTACAGCTTTATTCAGCTCTTTCAGGTCGACACAGATCCTTGTTTGTTCTTTGTTCTTCTTTGGCACAGGAACCATAGGGGCACACCACTCAGTTGGTTCCGATATTGGTTCAATCACGCCACACTTCACCATGCGATCCAACTCTTTTTTTACTTTGGGCAGCATTGGCACTGACACTCTCCTTGCAGTTGTCACACTGTAGGGAACCGCGTCCTCCCTGAGAGTGATTTTGATTGGCTTTATTTTTAATTTGCCAATGTCGTTGGGGCAAGAGTCAATGACTTGTACAGAAGCCTTAATTTCTTCCATGCGCTTTATCAAACCCATGGCAGCTGCTGCATTGCGACTTAAGAGGTGGCTGTTTTGATTACCTCTTATCACATTTAGTTTAAATCTGAACCTCTTGTCATTTCTAGTTGTTGTTGCTATGAAATAGCCCAGACAGTTTAGTTTACCTCCAGGGCTTTCCAGCTTATTTGTTGCTTTTCTCAGATTTGGCTTATAAGCGAGCTTGCTAAATGTCTCTTCTGATATAACACTTGTGTCAGCCCCTGAATCAATCTTAAATGTCAGATGTGTACCTTGTATTGGCAATTTAACTGTCCATGCATTCGTAGAATCCTCCACATCAGTGATTCCTCCCAGAAAATAAGTTGAACTGCTGTCCTTCTCTTGTTTGGGTGCAGTTACCTCGTTGACCACACGGGAGCGACAAACTACCGCAAAATGTCCCAGCTTCTTACAGCTCCTGCATTCTGCATTACGTGCAGGGCAATTATCATTCTTTCCGTGCATACGGCCGCATCTAGTACATTTGGGACCTTTACTCACGTTTTGATGTGGTTTATCTTTACCACCTGACCACTGTGCTTTGTTTGAGTAGCCTTCATTCGACTTCTGTTTATTCCTGTAGGGCTGGCGCTTAGCTACTTCACTCAATTGAGTGCTGCCGTTAGCACCTTGTTCGCTAACGTGTTGTTTAACTTGCTCAGACTGCCTCACGAGCTCCACGGCTCTGTTCAGGGTTAAATCAGGCATCATTTGCAGCTTCTCGGACAAATCTTTATCCAGAATTCCTATAACCAATCTGTCACGGATATTCTCCTCTTTTACCTCGCCAAAAGCGCAGGTGTCTGCCAACTCGTGCAGTGTACGGATGTATCCCTCCGCCGTCTCTCCGGTTCTTTGCGTGCGCTCTTTCATGAATTGTGTTGACTTTGGGCACAAAATAGTTGTCTAGTTTCTCCAAAACAACATCAAAATCGTTCTCATCATCCTCTTCCTCGAAGTTGAATGTCTTATACACCTGTTCCGCTTCTTTTCCCAGCGAATACAATAGCGTAGAGACCTGTACATCACCATCCTCTAGGGCAGCCATTCCCAAACTCAGTAACACCGAGGCCCCCTTAAAAATCTGACGGGTCTGCGTGGCCCCCCAAAATAATAACCAAGAAGACAACATTAAGAATAGGCTCTTCTGGTTATTTTATTTTGGGGAAATAGCCTCTGCTACAAACATTGTAATACAAAAATGATTACAGTGGATTATTCAAGTCAAATAATGAACACAAATATTTTAATATTACAAACAAAATTTAACATTAAATAATGATATAATTTTTTTTATGACCTCCCGCGGCCCCCCTGCAGTACCCTCGCGGCCCACCAGGGGGCCGCGGACCCCACTTTGGGAGACACTGCTCTAGGGAGAGCTTCGTCGCCGTTCTGTAGCGTTGAAACCGCTGGCGCCACTCGGGCCAGTGCTCTGGTCTCGAAAAATCAAAAGCTTCGGGAGGTGGGAACTTCGCCATCTTTAGACGTCTTCTGACACCATGTAGTGTTATGCAAAGTCAGGAGGAACACCAATAAGTTTATCGGCTTTAATGTCGAACATAACACCGGTCATGCATCAGTCGTACAGCGTCAGAACACATGTGTTAAACCGGAAGCAGCTTTTATATCCCTCAGCCACATCACTGCTTCAATAACATTACACATAAAATAGAGCCATCACATTACAAACAGTGAGAAGTAATTTTTTTCACATGCATTTTTAGTTTACCATTGAATAAGGGCTGCTCTGACTCACGATTTTATACTTGCTTCTTTTTTAATGCTTATGGTTAGATCAGCAAATAATCCACTCAATCCAAGTCTGTTGACTGTTAAGTGTTTGCACCATTGCAGCCCAAAAATATATATATACAAAAAACAATGCACCACGACTGAGCTCACCATGTCAATTGAAAGGGTCCTAGACTTTCAGTGTGCCATGCATAAAGGTTGAAGAAATATGTTTCAGAACTGCCCTCTCAAGGTTTTGCAGTATATGAGGCCCGAGTCGAGCAGAGAAACTTCTCTCCTGTGACTTACTTGACTGACTTGTCACAGTTCTTGTAATCAGTTTAATCAGTCCGTCTGAAACTCACCCAGTGACATAGGTTCCACAGTGCAAAAATACACAAGTTTTTTTACGTGCTAAATTTTGTGGCGTTAATTAATCGTAATTAACGCGTTAAAGTCCCGGCCCTAATACATATACATTTACAAATCTACACTGCTCACAAAAACTAAATCTGATGTTCTGTGTGTGGTGTTAAGACTGAGCTCGTCGCTCGAAGGACTTCGGGACTGCTCCGATCTCAATATCAGGATATCCAACATGTTGGATTGTTTTGGCCCCATTTCTCTTTTTGTGTCGTGTCCTCTGAGGACAGACGAGCGCGTTGCCATGACTGCGGCGTGTAGCCAATCAGAAGACGAGACGAGGCGGCGAGGAAACACCGTAAAAAAACAACTCATCTCCAAATCACGGTGTAACAAGTACAGTCCGAGCACATGTCGTCTACACTTCTTTGATCATCGACTTTTCTTTTGATTACGTCTTTTCTCTGCTAAAAACAAACTATCGCCACTGCATCCTCTCCGTCCGCCATGATTGTTTAATCTGAAGTCACGCTTGATCTCGCGAGATTTTGTGAGATTTCCGTCTGACCTGTGAATGCTTGGGGGGAAATCGGTTCGTGTGTGATTTTTGCCGTGTGGCTGCACCACACACTGTACGACCACAGTGGTTAGACCCATGATTTTTTATCTCCGTGTGTGGGGTCTCACACAGAGAAAAAATCGGCCGACAATTTTAAAATCGTCTCGTGTGAACAAGGCTTAAATCTATATTATAATGATCTGACATGTCTTTGTTGTGTTTGTGGCAGATCTACAAAGTCCATCTACAGAATGGGGCTCACCTGTGATCAGTGTGGAAAGACCTGCAGCTGTGCTTCTGAACTAAAGACCCACTACAGAACTCACACTGGAGAAAAACCATACAAGTGTGATCAGTGTGGAACAGGTTTTTCTACAAAAAGAGGTCTCAAGATCCACAGCAGAATCCACACTGGAGAAAAACCCTTCAGCTGTAACGTTTGTGGTCAGAGTTTTAGACATAAGAATTCTCTGAAAGAACATCGGAGTGTCCACACTGGAGAGAAACCATTTGAGTGTGACCAGTGTGAAAAGACTTTTACACGTTTATCTAAACTCACTCGGCACTACAGAATCCACACTGGAGAAAAGCCATACGAGTGTGATCAGTGTGGAACAGGTTTTTCTACAAAAAGAGGTCTCAAGATCCACAGCAGAATCCACACTGGAGAAAAACCCTTCAGCTGTGACGTTTGTGGTCAGAGTTTTAGAGAAGGTTGTACTCTCAAAAAACATCTGAGGATCCACACACGGACTTCATGTCTGCCATCTTGGATTGCTTTCGCTGCTGCGTGAGACACGCTTCAGAAGGCGGTGCAAACCCCACGTAACACCGGCAATCCTGATTGGCCGATTAAAAAAATAATCTGCCGAAGAAGTTGGCTATGGCCTCGATACAAAACCCACGTGGTTCAGCCAGACGCCTCTGGTGGAGCATGGCGGAACTACAAGGGTCTGGCGAGAGTCAGGCTAGCAATTTGCAGCACTGTTTTGGAAAAGTGCTACAATAAAGATGTTCAGGTATTGTTCCAGTCTCTCCACACGGAGTGATGACGGAACCGAGACCAACACCATCCATCCACTCAGTCGCTCATACTTATTGTACATGTTAATAGTGGTAGGGGAAACCGGAGGAAACCTACGCCGACGTGCAAACACCACTTACCCTAAATGTTAAAGATTATTCCTAAACAATATCTTGCACTCACTTATGTTTGCACTGTGATTATGAGCGTAATTGCAGCTACTGGAGACATCTGTTCCTTTAGCCTGAGCCAAACAAACATACTGTAGCGTTCCATTGCTTATGCCCTGAGAAAGAGAGATGCTCTTTCTGTAGTGATTATTGATTCTCTCTAATGTCCCTCTAATAAATATATATTCCCAGTGTGTTTTCAGTGACTGTCAGCATTGTTAAAAGGCCCCCTCTGGTGTAGCTGATAGATGGGAGGGTTGTAGCCCCGGGCCTGAGGCTGGAGCGGTGTAATGTGGGCTCCCTTCAACGACGCAGCAGCAGTGGACACACAGAGTAAACACAGCTCCAGATGGGACCCCCCTTGCGAGCGCTCTGCTCCATCCAATTATGTGTGAGAGTGTGATGCGGCTGCTCTCCCTCAACACTGCTCCTTTACTACTTCATTTAGAGTACTGTCATAAATAGACCTTATCAAAATATGTGAACACGTTTAAATTAGTGTATAGGTATTATTTATGTCATGATATAACCCTTGATCCTTTCACATACAGTGTTAAAACAGCACTGAAGAATACTCCCTTGAGAATGCTCAATCTTGTTTGGTTATAGTAAAACGACTGTTGTGAGTACCAGGTGGTGTTCGGATGGAGATTATGGTAAATATTAAAATTTAATTCAATTCAATTTATTTTTGTACAGCCGTAAATCATAACAACAGCCGTTTCAGGGACTTCAAGCAGTTTGAACACAAGAAATGCAATAACAACATTGGTGCCATCTTCCAGATCAGATTATACATATATGGTATGTTGTTAGGCCAACATAGAAGATAGAATAGAATGATGGTTGATGTGTGTTAGATTGGTGTTGTTGGGGTCAAACAGGTAGCCTCACTTTCATTGGTCAACTTGTGTGTGACTTATTATAATTCAACACAGTTTTAAGTATTATGAATAATCTTTCCAACACACTGTTTGAATATACAGTATGCAGCTACAATTTGGGCTATGTAACTCTTGGATCTTGGGTCAGAACTGGAAGATGAGTGTGAAAAAACTCTGACATTTCAACAACATAATGTCTTTAATAAATGTTGTCAGAGCTGGTTCAAAAATGACAGTTTATCTGAACATAAGCACACAGACAATGTATTATAGACTGCACCAGTCCGGGTCTCTGCTAGATGGAAAGCAAACTGACAATGAAGCGAGCAGGTATCTCAGGTAGTAGACGCCAAATGGGTTGGTCAAATCACAAGGCACAGGATGTCATAAATACACATGTAAATCAATAATCTTTTAGACCAGTCCCGAGTCTGAGCCTGAGGGTCTCTCTACAGGCTGTTATTGTCCTTCTAGACGTCCACAGTCCCATTGACCCCAGAGAACGGTGAGGTCAGCAGTCTCCAACGTCACATTGGCCTCATGACTTAGATAAGTGATTTCCTGCCATGAGTGCTCACTTTGTCCCAAACACATTCTATATGAAAACCCATACATTTATTAATATTCTAATTAACCAAATATTTATCAGTATAGTTTTTCACTACTTAGGTCTGTTATAGAAATATTTTAGTAAAGCAATCTGAATTAACACCAAATAGTTATGAGTGTAAGTTATTAACTAATAGTCAACTCTGGATTCAGATACAGGCCATAATGCTCTGTTGGCTCAGGTCAGTGATAGATGGAGACGTGCTGCATCATGTCTTTGACCTGGGTCATAGAACAATATGTTCAGTTCAAAAGCAGATTGTTACATATATCAGAGTTGTATCAGCGTTAGGAGGCGTAAAGAGAAGCCTTGAGCAACACATATCAATGTTGACTTCATTTATGTAATATCTAGAGTAGATATGTGTTTGTTTACTCAGGTCTATTTAATGTACAGTCATTTCCTCAATCGTGGCAGTCGATTTCAGGCGGCTGCCCGGTGGTATTGGTATCGGTTCTGTTATTCATTGTAATTGTGCACAATTTACTAATGAATAAACTCACACTTTGTTTGGAATTACAGCTCTGAG